TTCTTCTTCTTCTTCTTCTTCTTCTTCTTCTTCTTCTGCTACACCTATATACATGGTGTATCACTAACATTTTTACTACTGTACTTATATATTTTTATACACTTTTATACAACTATATTAATAATATACCTCTTTGTATAAAAGTGTATAATATTGTATAAAAGTGTATAAGCATCTCTGACGAATTTTTTGTACGATTTTAACTTGCAATTCTTGATTAAAACTATTCCAAATCTCCACTAAATGACTTCAAACTTTGTATACAGTTTACTTAAACTAATTTTAATAAGTTCAAACAATACCCACTCTAGTTTTCTCACAAAATCATATTCAAAAACTAACAAGATTAGCATTAAAGAAGATGAGATTTTAGATTTCTCGCATTTGGTTGTGAATTTTCGTAGTTGTGATAGGTATGTAGAAACTTGAGGAAAAAGGAGAATGGAAATATTTCACGCTTGAAGATATAGAGAATAAAAAAAATGGAGAAAAAGTCAGATCTAAGCTTATTGATATTTGACTACACATTTGCAAACCTGTAAGTGGGCTAAAATAATGCAAGGGCAACTTATGAAGTGCATTATTATGTAATTTTGTCATTTGTTTATATATTAGTTGAAACAAGTGACATAGAATAAAAACTAACCTAATCTAGAGAAAAAAATGACTTTCACCTATTAAAATGATTAGTGCATTTTTCTCCTACTTCTTCTAGATTTTGTTTTTCATCATAGTGTTACCAAAGACTAAAACCTAATTTCATCAAGAAAAATAGTTTCTTGATATGCATTATATGCCACACTAAACAAACACTAGCCTGTTAAGAATTGTAGCTCAAAAATAATAATATAGAACAAGGAAAAACAAGTTAAGAGATATAGAGAGAAAGAGAGAAGGAAAAGATTTTCTTCTTCAATTGTGTGTATTTTCCTATCTATTACAAGGCCTTTATATAGACATAAAAAGTGAAGAAAATATGTCATGGAATATGTCATGGAACATACAAAATATGTCATTGAATATGTCATTAAGCATTTGAGATGAAAAATCATGAAAGAAGAGTAGACATCCACCATAATGTGATATTTATCATAACACTCCCCCTTAGATGTCCATAGATAATGTGTCTCGTTAAAACCTTACTAAGAAAAAATCCTGTAGGGAAAAAAAAAATCTTAGTGAAGGAAAAAGAGTACACATATCTGTAATACGCTTTATTTGCTGCCTCGTTAAAAACCTTACCAGTAAAACCTAGTGGGACAAAACCTAGGTTAAGGGAAAAAGAGTACAACGCGTATCTTACTCCCCCTCATGAAAACATCATTTTATTTCTCGAAGACGGCGCATTCCAATCTTCTGTCTCAACTTCTCAAATGTTGAGGTTGGTAATGCCTTAGTGAACAGATCAGCCAAATTTTCACATGAACGAATCTGTTGAACACTAATTTCACCATTTTGTTGAAGATCATGCGTAAAAAAGAACTTTGGTGAAATGTGCTTTGTCCTATCTCCTTTTATGAATCCTCCCTTCAATTGGGCTATGCATGCTGCATTGTCTTCATACAAAATTGTGGGTAGTTTGTCACACTTCAAACCACATTTGTCTTGGATAAGATGTATTATAAACCTCAACCAAATACATTCTCGACTTGCTTCATGAATAGCAATTATCTCAGCATGATTAGAAGAAGTAGCCACGATTGATTGCTTAGTCGATCGCCAAGATATGACAGTGCCGCCACATGTAAACACATAACCTGTTTGAGATCGAGCCTTATGCGGGTCAGATAAATACCCAGCATCGGCATAACCAACAAGATCGGGATTGCAATCATTGCCATAAAATAAGCCCATATCGGTAGTCCCTTTTAGATATCGCAATATGTGTTTGATCCCATTCCAGTGTCTCCTTGTAGGAGCAGAGCAATATCTTGCTAAGACATTAACCGAAAAAGTTATGTCAGGCCTTGTAGTGTTAGCAATATATATTTTTACATCAATTGTACTAAGATATGGTACTTCAAGACCAAGAAGCTCTTCATTCTTTTCTTGAGGTCGGAACGGATACTTATTCACATCAAGTGATCGAACAACCATCGGAGTACTTAATGGATGTGCTCCATCCATGTAAAACCGTTTCAATACCTTTTCTATGTAGGCAGATTGATGAACAAAAATTCCGTTTGCCAAATGTTCAATTTGCAAACCAAGACATAATTTTGTCTTTCCGAGATCTTTCATCTCGAATTCCTTTTTTAAACATTCTATGGCTTTGGGAAGCTCTTTAGAAGTGCCAATGATATTCAAGTCATCAACATATACAGCTATGATGACAAATTCAGATCCAGACCTCTTAATAAAGACACAAGGGCAAATAGGGTCATTTTTGTACCCTTGGTTTAGCAAATACCCGCTAAGGCGATTGTACCACATCCTCCCTGATTGCTTCAATCCGTATAAGGATTTCTGAAGTTTTATTGAACAAGTTTCTCTTGAACTTTTATGTGTTTCAGGAACTTTAAATCCTTCGGGGATTTTCATAAAAATCTCATTGTCTAGTGAGCCATATAAGTAGGATGTGACAACGTCCATCAACCTCATATCAAGTTTTTCATGGACTGCCAAATTTATTAAATACCTGAAGGTAATTGCATCTACCACAGGAGAATATGTCTCCATATAATTAATGCCAGGCCTTTGCGAAAACCCTTGTGCCACAAGTCGTGCTTTATGCCTTATGATTTCACCTTTTTTATTTTTTTTTCCGCACAAAAACCCATTTGTACCCCACTGGCTTGACACCTTCAGGTGTTTGGACTATTGGTCCAAAAACTTCATGTTTTTCGAGTGAAGCAAATTCCACTTGAATTGCATCTTTCCATTTTGGCCATTCATTTCTCCGTCTACATTCATCGATAGATTTTGGCTCAAGATCCCCATCTTGTTGCATTACTTCAACTGCAACATTATATGCAAAATTATTGTCAACAATAGCGTTATTTCGGTTCCACCTTTTTTCCGTAGAGACATAACTTATTGAGATCTCTTTATTTTCATCATTTCCAGGTACTAGAACCTCCTGTGAGGTTTTATCAATTATTTTGTCTTTATGCTCCTCTTGAGCAATTGCCTCTATGTTATGATCAACTTGATCATTCGCTCCTTTCCTATTTCGGGGGTTCTTATCCTTGGAACGATTGGTATACCAAGTTTAAGGCGTGGACTAGACTCTTTTTCATTATCATACTGTCCAACTGAGACATCAATTCGAATTGGAGCATTTACAGCTGGAATATGCGATTTAGTAACCCGTGGAAGGTTAGTAAATGCATCTGGCAATTGATTTGCAACATTTTGCATATAAATGATCTTTTGAACTTCTCGTTCACATTGATTTGTACGAGTATCCAAATGAGATAAAGATAATACGTTCCAATCTATCCCTTTTTCCACCTGTTTATTTTCTCTCCCTAATGTTGGAAAAACTGATTCATCAAAATGACAATCAACAAATCTGGCTATAAACAAATCTCCTGTCATAGGCTCCAGATATTTAATAATAGAAGGAGATTCATAACCTACGTATACTCCCAACCTTCTTTGGGGGCCCATCTTTGTGCGTTGTGGTGGAGCAATTGGAGCATGTACCGCATATCCAAAAATTCTTAGATGGGAAATATTTGGCTCCTGATCAAAAACCAACTGTAATGGGGAGACTTCATGATAACTGGTTGGCCTTATGCGCACAAGTGCTGCTGCATGCAAAATAGCATGTCCCCACACTGAAAGGGGAAGTTTTGTCCTCATTAGTAATGGTCTAGCTATTAATTGGAGGCGTTTAATCAATGATTCTGCTAGACCATTTTGAGTATGAACATGAGCAACCGGATGCTCAACTTTTATTCCAGTGGCCATACAATAATCAGTAAAGACTTGAGATGTAAATTCACCAGCATTATCAAGACGAATTGTCTTAATTGCATAATCTGGAAATTGTGCTCTTAACCTTATTATTTGGGCCAACAATCTCGCAAATGCCATGTTACGAGTTGACAATAAGCACACCTGTGACCATCTTGTAGATGCGTCTATCAAGACCATAAAATACTTGAATGGTCCACATGGAGGGTGTATAGGCCCACATATATCACCCTGTATACGTTCTAGAAATGCAGGGGATTCAATCCCAATTTAGCTGCTGATGGTTTAATAACCAATTTTCCTTTAGAGCAAGCAACACAGGAGAATTCCTTAAATTGAAGAATCTTCTTGTTCTTCAATGTGTGTCCATTTGAATTCTCTATTATTCTGCGCATCATGTTAGAACTGGGATGACCCAACCGGTCATGCCAAATGATAAAATCATTAGAAGTAGTAAACTTTTTGTTTACTATGGCATGTGATTCAACCACACCAATGTTTGTGTGGTACAACCCAGAAGAAAATGCGGGTAATTTTTCATGCACATATCTTTTACCCGCTTTTATTGTAGTAATATAAAGGTATTCAACCTTTCCTTCGTTTGATGTCTCAACATGGTAGCCATTTTGGCGAATAGCTTTGAAACTCAACAAGTTTCTTTGAGACTTACTACAATACAATGCATTATCAATAGTTAATATCGTTCCTTCGGGTAATAATAAAGCCGCTCTTCCGGAGCCCTCAATCAACTTTGTACTACCGGATATTGTATTAACATAGGCCTTTTTCATAACCAAATAAGAGAAAAATTTCTTTTCTCTTAATATTGTGTGAGTTGTAGCATTATCCAAAAGACATAAATCTTCATTACTCATCTTGGTTCCAATTGAAGACTGGGGAATTTTAATTTCTTCATAAAACAAAGAATAAAAGTACATCATGAGAAATACAGAAAAAAAATATCTCCAACAACAACATAAGACAACTTAAGTACTACTTAAAAATAAAAACAACTTTAGATGAGATAAAAACACTGAAAATAACAACATAATTGCATTCCCCAATAAAATGATCAAACTTTAGTTTTGATCTCCAAAGAAATCTTCAACTTCCAAATGAGTAAGATCATCGAGGCCTTGAAAATCATCATCTTTCGAAGCAAGATTTGCCTCGGCATTGTCATCATTTTTGTTTGAAGGCCCTGCCTCAAAATTATTTTTAAAGGTCAAGTGTGACTCCACTGGGGCATTAGCAGAAGATGCTCCAATATTATTTGCCTTTCTTTTGATGGAGTTTTGATAAAGCCTGACAAAATACTCAGGTGCACGACATTTAATTTTCCAATGACCTTTCATGCCACAGCGGTGGCAGTTAGCACTTTTGCCTCTTGAAGGATTGTTTTGAGAATCCATATTGTTCTCTCGTTTTCCATGACCACCACGATGACGACTATCATATCGTCTCTTACCATTGCCATACCTATGTACATTCATATGGCCATGATTATTATTCTGTCTTTTTCCAGACTTATCACGTCTAGCTGCCATATTTGCTTCAGAAAGCGGAGCTGACCCTGTGGGACGAGCTTCATGATTTTTTAGTAAAAGGGTGTTATGTTGCTCAGCCACCAGAAGGCATGAGATCAATTCAGAATAATTTTTAAACTCCCTTTCACGGTATTGCTGTTGTAATACCATATTTGAGGCATAGAAAGTTGTAAGAGTTTTTTCCAGCAAATCCTCATCATTCATAACTTCCCCACATAATTTCAATTGAGAAGTTATTCGAAATACAACAGAGTTATACTCACTTACAATTTTAAAATCTTGCAATCGTAAGTGCATCCACTCATATCGAGCCTTTGGCAATACCGTAGCCTTAAGGTGATCATACCTTTCCTTCAGGCCAGTCCACAATTCAAGTGGATCTTTCACTGTTAAATATTCTACCTTCAAACCTTCATCCAAATGATGACGAAGGAAAATCATGGCCTTCGCCTTGTCCTGGCTTGATGCCTCATTACCCTGAGTAATGGTGTTACCAAGGCCTTTAGCGGCTAAGTGAATCTCAGCATCGAGAACCCATGATAGGTAATTCTTTCCAGAAATGTCAAGTGCCACAAACTCAAGCTTTGACAAATTTGACATAGTAAAAGCTATCAAAGAAAATAAATGAATTAGAAATGATTAAGATGATAGTGAAAATAAATAAATGGATATAAACATTACGAATGTTTAAATTGTGTTGCCATATAAAACATATAGTGATAATGATAACATTAATCTATTTATTAGTACTTATGCAGATTTGAGAATGAAAGGTTACGTATTATATCAAACAACAATTTCTATAAATGAAGACAAAATATACATAATAATATAGGTTTAAGGTGATGGATTTTAACGCCAATAACTAGCAATTTATCATGTTTGCCACAGTGTAGTGTGATTCATATTGATTCGTAATGATCAGTTATCATGATAACAATTTGACTTAATTCATACAATACAATACCACTAGAATGACAAGAGGAGAAGAAGAAATGTAGAAGATAACCTGTTATACCTTTCGGATGAAGAATTGCACTTAACTTTCGACAAGGCTAGAGTCGTGCTGATAACATGTTAAGAATTGTAGCTCAAAAATATCAATATAGAACAAGAAAAAACAAGTTAAGAGATATATAGAGAAAGAGAGAAGGAAAAGATTTTCTTCTTTAATTGTGTGTATTTTCCTATCTATTACAAGGCCTTTATATAGGCATAAAAAGTGAAGAAAATATGTCATGGAATATGTCATTGAACATACAAAATATGTCATTGAATATGTCATTAAGCATTTGAAATGAAAAATCATGGAAGAAGAGTAGACATCCACCATAATGTGATATTTATCGTGACATAGCCAATTTTTTAGAACTTAATCTTTCAAATTACAAACAGAAGTCGGCATGCACTTTGTCTATCCTAGTGACATTAAAGCATCATTTTCTTAAAAGTTAAATAAAAGAACATCTCTGTCTAACACAAGTGGCACAGGCACTACCAAGCTAGTTGACAAAAAAACAGCGTAAGGAGACGAAAAAGAGAGAAAAATCCATATGATTTGGTGAGAAACTAATAAATCTAAGTATTTGATAAGATTTGCTTCATTTTAGTAACGGACAAAATAATAATACTATAATAATATTGTGTATGTTTAAAATCGGAGATAAAGTTACTCCGATTTCCTAATGAAGAAACAAGGGATAACGTGATTCGGCACTGGCTCGGGTAAGACCGAGGGTGCCCACAGATCAGAGCCCGAAGTAGACGAATGATACGTAACTGAGCATGGCCAAACATGGGAAAAATCAAGCTCGAGCGAAACGAAGAATCGAGGTTGAAGGGAAGACGGTTAAAAACAACAAACGAGGAGCCGAAATATCCCCCACCGCCAGATATTATTGCGTAGATCGTGCCCGATATTAACTGCGGATCGCGTTTTCTTGGGAAAAAAAGGAAGGACTTGTACTAGGGTTGAAACTCTCCTACTATATAAAAGGGAGAATCTCTTTTTATTTTTTAACCATTGTTGGCATGCATATCAAAGTAATAAAGTTTACTTTTATCTTTTAGCAATTGTTCAAGTGTTCTTTAGCTATTATGTCATTCAACTGAAACCGAGCGTCCTCCCAAGGGCTCGATTGAAACCAGTTCCTAGCATTCGAACATAACGGCAGGCTTAGTTATTTCATCATATTTGGTTTGATGGTTTTGTTTTCTTTTAATTCTATTATTTGTTGTTTCTTTGATTATTTGTGTTAAATTAAATTACGTATCCCTTAAATCACGTACAAATTTAATTGTTTCTCATTTTAAGGGTAAATAGTTTGGCTACCCACTGTGGGGCTAAGGATAGTAGTAGTGATTTAATACGAATCTTTGTAATACACTCTATTTTACGCTTGTTTTTTGAAGTTTGATTTTAGGATCATTCAATATGTCAAATTCCCAATCTACTCACTTGAGTGTTAACATCGAGCCCGACCATCACGACAAAAATAATTACGTGGTGCCAAGCAACGGCGTGCCCTATGTCGACCCTAATGGTGTTCCGATTGCTGACCCAGTCGATGCCAATTCACAGGTTGCTATCAATATCAACATACTGATTAGTCCCGATTACAACATTCACGGAGCACCCCAACCATCAGTTCAAGAGGCACCTGAAGGGGGAAGGTGATGGAGTTACCTAACCTTGAGTTTTGCGATGTTGCAAGCTCAACAAGTTGTAATAGCCCAACTGCAGAGTCAAAATCACGCATACAACGCGGCTGAATCTGAACAGGTTGGAGAAGAACAGATGGTCACAAAATCTGATAGGTCCAGGCCCGGGGAAACTTCTGAGGTAATGCAAAAGCTCGAAGCATTGACAAAATGGGTGGAGAAGATAGGGGCAAATGACAAGAATATGGAAACTTATAATTCGAGGGTTGATCAGATTCCAAGAGCACCTCCAATATTGAAGGAATCGGATTCCAAAAACTTCATTCAGAAACCTTTTCCCCCAGTGTGGCACCAAAGTTGTAACGACCCGACTGGTCGTTTTTCTTTCTAGATCCCCCTTCCCTTAATTAAGACTCCATGTATGTGCCTTTACTATTTTATGACTTGCGGGGATGATTGACTTGGGTTTGGAAGGGTACAAGTTGAAATCAGAATATTTGGTTTCTTAATACTGGCCAAAGATGGCTAAGCTTGACTTGAGTCAATATTTTTGGTAAATGACATTGGAACCGGAATTTGATGGTTCCAATAGGTTCGTATGATGATTTTTGACTTGGGCGTGTGTTTGGATCGGGTTTTGGATAATCCAGGAGTGTTTCGGCACTTAATGTTGAAAGTTGGCGCATTGAAGATTTTCAAATTCTTTAAATTTGGTGCGGAGTTACCTTTGGTATTATTGAGGCCAGTTTGGGATTTCGAACCTGGGAATAGTTTTGTATGGTGATTTATGACTTGTACGCAAAATTTGGTTTCATTCCGAGTAGTCTAAGTATGTTTCGGCGCGTTCGAAGTAAGTTGAAAAGCTTGAAGTGCATAATTTGATTAAATTTGGTTTTTGGGTGCTTCTTAGTTTTGAAATTTTTTTATGCGTTCCGAGGGTTCGAGCAGGTTCGAATTGTATTTATCAACTTGTTGGTGCAATTGGGTGGGATCACCGGTGGCTCGGGTGAGTTTCTGACCACCCGAAGCTAAGTCTTAAAATCTGTCACTATTAATTCTTGTTTCCTTCTTGGCGTTCGTGTGTGTCACATTCGCGGAGAAGGAATTTTGGGGACTGGGAAATTTTTCTTCGCGTTCGCGATACCCAGTCCGCGTTCGCGAATGTCTGGGACATGTGGCCTTCGTGTTCGCAAGAAAGGGCCCGCGTACGCGCAGGGGAAAAAGGGCCTGGGAGGGGGGAAACTTTACTCTTCTTGTTCGTGAAGGAGAACCCGCGTTCGCGATGAAGGATATCACGGCCTGGGCCAGGTTTGCCTTCGCGAATGCGAGGCTTCTTCCGCGATCACGAAGAAGGGTCAGCTGGGTAGAGACTTGATTAAATCGGGGATTGGGTTCATTTTCTCTTATTTCACTTTGGGTTAGTCAATTTTGGAGCTCTTGGAGAGGGATTTTTCACGTATCATCGTAAGGTAAGTAATTAGTACCTAATGTGAGTTTAATACACAGATTATGGGAGATTTCAACATATAAATTGTTTAAAATTTAGGATTTAGCTAAAAACTCTAGGTTTTGATAAAAATGAGATTAGACCACGAAAATGATTATAGAATTGAGAAGAAATTATATATTTGTATTCGTGAGGCTATGGGTAACTTTTATTTACAAAAATTTTCGAAATTCGGGCACATGGGCCCCGAGAGTGAATTTTAGAAATCTTCTAAATTTGGGTCGGGTAATTACTCTAATAGTTAAATTATAAACTTTTGAGCATATACTGATTAATTTATACAATATTTGGCTAATTTCAGATTGCGTGGCACCGATTTGATGCTTTAGTCTGAATTGTGGACCGGAAAGAGAACTTGAAAACGGGTTAATTTCTTGCCCAACCTTGTAAGAGAAAATTATTCCCCATAGGTGCTATAAGTGATTGTTTGCTAATAATTATGAGTGCTACGTGCGTACGATGTGATGAGAGTTCGTATATAGCTAAAATCATGCTTATGTCTAGGTAGTTTTAGGACTCTACCATGTATTTCTTGTATTATTTGTGCCCAACTTGTTTGTTTAATTCCTTAAATTATATATGAAGATTGGATAAAAGGATTTGTAAAGAATGATTTTCACTACCTTGAGTTTTGACGGGTTACTTGACTGTTGGTGGAAATTATACTTTCCTTGAGTATTATTCTTATGTAGTAGCCGTTAATCGGAGTTCATAGAGTATTCTCTCTTCCAGTGGATCAGGACGAACGCCTCGGCAGTATAATATATGCATCTATGGTTCGTGCCAGTCAACCCTCGACAGTGTACACATTATTCTGCATCAGGCCGTACGACCTCATCATAAATATTGTGTGATATTGCTCGAAGTCCGATTATATTTGATATTTCTTCCATGACTTATGAATTTATAATAACTTGATGGCTCTTATTTGTTGAAATTAGTATATGATAGTTGGAGATTTAAAGTGATATCTAGTTAAGGAATCACTTATTTATTTTTCATTATTGCGTTATTACTGATGTATTCCATGCCTATTTATAATTTCTGCACTTTATTTATTTACCCTTTGTAAGTATCAATGTCGACCCCTTGTCACTACTTGTTCGAGGTTAGACTAGATACTTACTAGGTACATGTTGTTTATATACTCATGCTACACGTCTGCACTTATCGTGTAGGATCTGAGGCAGGTGTATCTGGCGGCCATACAGGCACGTACCTCCGCTACCTGGAGACCTAGTGGTGAGCTGATATCTATGCCCGTTTTGCAGCGCCCAAAGTCTCTTCTTATTGTATTTTTTTGTCTATCTTACTCCAGAGGGTGGTATATGATGTTTTGTATATTCTACTAGTTTTCTCATGCACTTGTGACACCTGGTTTTAGGAGATTCTAGTAGACATTTTATGGTTTTGATTATTAAATTCAGTATTT